TAAGTTTAATATTATTTATACTATTTTTCGCTGATATTGTTTTATTAAAGTTTCTTTTAAGTTCCATCCCGTCAGTCTCTCTCCCTTTTCTCCTCTCCTTCCCCCTCTGGGAAGGGACGGGGTTAACAGAGAGCATCTGCCACCCGCTTTAAGCGCTGGCCCAGCCTTAAACGGTGACACATGTCAACTCCACTAACCACAAAAATTGCTAAGTTAAAAAATGAAAGTCAAAGGACAGTGGAAAAATAAGAACTGCATTTGCCCAGCAAAGTTTTATCACTAATGATGGCAAAAATATCCTGCTTGATTCCCAGATGCTGACAAAGTTAGCAGGAAAACACTCCAAAGGGAGAAAGAAGAGTTCTAACATACAAACTAGGCATTTTAATCCAAACAAACAAGCAATTAACATCCTCTCATGGCTGTTCCTTGTCAGAGCAGCCCTGAGCTAGTCCAACAGCTTCACTCAACAGCCCTATTCTCCATATAGTCCAACTGAAGTAACAGGGACTTTTCCAGAACCAGTGTCACCATGAGAAAAAACATAAGATTATTTACTAGGTTTGGGGTTTTTTGTTTGTTTGTTTTTAACCAAATAACTCCAAAACTCTATTTGGCCTCTGCTTTTGAATAGTTCCCATCATGAATGATGAATTCATTTAATTAAAAAGAAAAAAGATTTCTTCTGATCTTTTTAATTATTCAAATTCTGAACCCAAAGCTGAACTGAATTCTTTTGGGTCCTTATTGGCTGCCAGAAGTAATTCCAGAAATCTGAAAGACATTACTTGGCAATATTTACTACTATTATTTTACATTTAACCAAAATACAGTTGTATTTTTCAGGAAGTCCTATGTAACTACTGAATTTCAAAATGTACCACTTACTATAAAAGTTCATCTGTTCTGTAAAACATAACAGCTAACACAGCCCTGGCTTGAGAATTTCAGCATGAGAAAGCGTAGACAATGAGGGAATAAGATGTATTTCATTTAAATCTCACAGGGAGTGACCACCACATATCTGACCCAACAACTAGAGAAACAGCTGAAAACAGTATCATGCAAAAAACAGTTCCTGCAACAGCACTGTGCCATTTATACATTTTAAACGTAATCTGGTTGATTACCTCATATTTTCATTCTAATTTAATTCATGGAATCAGAGATTTTTGAATGCTTCAGACCCTTTCTGGGTACAGTATCAAAATGCAGCATGCTTTAGCTCACCACTACAAAAGTAGAAGTGCAAGGATCAATACTCACTTAACAGGGTATAAAAACCTAAGAGGTAAAAAGGAAAGAAATATGCGAAACAGGAAATAGTTTATAGTCAGCACAGGGTTTTTTTAATAGCAAACAGTCTCCTTGTTTCCCATTTTAACTAGATGGGTCACATTTCCTATTACCAAAACAGACATGACTTCACTGAACTTGTGGAACTAATCCATTTTATCCCAGCAGAAGGTATGTCCCTAGACTCTTGATTTCTCATGCTGCGAGAACAAAATAAAGCCTTATGTGATCAAGTAATTAAAACCAAGCCACTTTAAAATGTTCAGTAAATACAGTGAATCTGTTTATGCTGACAAGATATTACCTTGCCTTCAAAAATTACCCTTATTTATGCACTTTCAGAGATGTCTAAAGAAGAAGAATTGTATTGTTTTACTTGTAGAATTTGCTGACAGAATTATATGTTGGCTTGCAGGCATGCTTATTATTTGATTCTAGTTTAGATGCCTATTTTTAAACATTTTTCATAATAGAAGTACTCTAATTTTCCGGTGTCTCTCTTGGATCAATGTTCTTTGAGAGGCATTGTTATATAGAAGACACTGAACGTGCTGAATGTCTCAAAGGAAGACGGACAGTTATTAGTAACTTTGGATTGACATTGACAGATACTATGAAACTTAAATTACTTAAAAAGCTAGGCACTGACATTCTTCTTTACCCTTAATAAAGTGTATATTCTCTGTCTTTATCAGTTATCACTAACATCTTCATATCACCTTTATAGGAGCATTAAAATTCAGGATATTGAGTTTATTGTACTGTAATGTAAATATGGCTGGATGTCTGTTGTGTTCTCTTCACTTTCACATATCTTCACTATCAGTTTTATAATTAAATTAACGGTATTGTTGGAGTTAGATCTAACATTAGAACTGCTGCTCTAAGAAACAACTCTCTCAAAACCACACACTTTTCTTGCGGATCTCAAAAAGAACATACAGTACTATCAAAATCAACTGGATAATATAATTAAACAAAATAGTATGACATACTTGACACAGCACATAGGTATAATGCACACAACATCAGGAGATTCTACAAAAATGTTGTTCATCAGCCTATACACCTAGCTGCATACAGTACATACAGTAACCGCTTTTCAGAACACCATCAGATGGAGGGTAGAATGAGTGCATTTTACTTCTAGAGAAATCAGCTGAAAGCAAAGAGATTAACAGAGTAGTACATTTTAATACCAGAATCCTAATAGCAATAGAGGTGAGTGGTTACCAAATACGCCAGTACCATTAGATCATGTGATTACATATTATGTTGCACACAACTTTTTTAAATGGAAGAGAAGAAATGTAGGAAACTGTAACTCTGAAGAATGCTTCGCCTTTTTCTTTAACTCAAAGTACAAATGAATTCATTGCTATTTACTTTAACCAGATGTTATGTACCTATGCACCCATCCAGACATACATAAATAAATATCATATAGTCTAACCTATCAGATAATCTGTGAACTTCTAAAATGTTTTAACTTTGATTTCTAAATCCAAAAATTTCACTGTATTAAAACTCTATAGGCTGCAGGGTCAAGTATTCTATTCATAGAACTTATAAAGATTATTATCCATTATATCGTCAGACTAACTAGTTGTTATACTGATCACTTTACTAGTCATACATCATATCAGAGATGTTTCTCCAGTCTAAATAACTTATTAGCAACAGTAACTTCCTGATGCTCTTATTAAGCTTCAACACTCTACTTTTATTCATATACAAATCTTTAAGAATATTATCTTTATTCCACATGGCTTTAGTTAAAATCTCCTATCGGATATGATCACCTAGTTTCACAGCTAGTTAAAACACAGAGAAGAGCACGGAGACAACTGCAAAGAAATTCAGCACATGATGTAAGTATACACCTTGCCTTTTGAAAGAAAATTTTAATCTAGAAAATCTAGTACCTAGATTTTTCTGTAGTCCGGTTAAATGAATCACATTTAATCTCTGAGAGAGCACAAAAGCATGCCATAGGCTAAATGTGTTTTAAAAATGTGGTATTTATTTTTTGATTCCTTCTGCAGTGAGGGTGCTAATTTGAAAGATTAGTAGTACAAGTAAAACAAATACGGAGAGTGAAAGAGTGGTGTGTTATTGTTTCAGTTGCCACTTGCTAGTACATCTTTCAAATAAAATACAACTTTCATGTGTATATCCTCTTTTGATTTACGTACTGAAAAACTCTAATTTTTCTTTTCCATATCCTTTTGATATTTTTTGCCACCATCTTTCTTCAAGGTGAGAAAAGAAAAAGCAAATAACTCACAATGATAACTATTTCTATGTTGTTTTCTGTCACTGCCCTTCTGTTTTCTGCCCTTTCACTCTCAGATCAAACCACCTGAAACTTCTGCTTCAAAGGCAAAAGGACCTATCTCCTTCCCAGCCCTCTCTATACCCATATAATGCTAGGCTGTCAAATGAGGCCAACTATTCCTCTTCACTTTTTATTCATTCTTTAAACATGACATTCACATATCAACAGGAAATAAAGTGAAGCATATCAACATTTTTGCCCAAACCGCACAGATACCTTTTTAGAGCAATGTGAATTCCAGCCACCTTAATGGCAGCCATCTGGTTCAAAAGTAATACATGATACTGAAATTTCACCCCATGCTGCATATAAGTAATGTAGTGATCTACAACAGGCCATCTTTATTGTCCAAGAGCTAAGAAAGAACATTTCTGAAAGAGAAAACATTTTCTATTTAGTCTACTAAGGCCTCCACAAGAATATTTATTTTGTCTGGAATAAAAACAACAAACAGAAAAAATAAGTAGCACAAACATCCCTCCTCAAGCCCTTTTTTAATTTTCACTATAATCTTCTTGTCAACTATTTGGGCACATATTTAAATTTGGGGAATCACACAGTGAAGGATACTGTTTCAAATTAATTTCAGACAATGCTTGAAATCTGTATCTCAAATTAAAACACTTCTCCCAGCTTTTTTCCAAGAAATACAGCAGGCTGTATCTTCTACAGCAAATGAAAACTCACCTTATTACAAAGTCATGGCTATCAATCTCTTTTCCACATCCACTGTCCAGAAGGATGCCAGAATTCCCAACAACTGCACAAGTTTTAAATCGGCGATTCTTCATTGGGGAGACTTCAGGGAGAAGGCTGTGCAAATCCTGAGAAATGTTTAGGGTGCGACGTCTGTCTAGTACATAATGGATTACATCTCCAGGCTTAAAGCTGCTTTTGACCACTGAGACATCTCTTTCAGCATCCAAGAATCGAAGAATGTTCTTTCTGGGTTGACAGAAAAATGCACAGATAAAACCCAACACTCACTGCTCACATGGAGTTTATCTAATACTAATACAGACTGTACAGAGCATACAACATAAAGCAGAGGGTAGATAGTGTCAGGCAGACTAAGGTCATTTTTCATGCTCTAGGATGCAGCAAAGCTGTTAGGACAGAGTTCAAATCTTGGTTACAATATAACACATAAACAGTACAGTGATAGAGCTTAATGACTTCCTACAGACAAAGGCACTGAGAGACCAAGGGAAGATAATTTTAGAAATTAGAAGTCATACTATTTTTGAGTATTTTACAAAACTCTGGAACAAACACGTATCTGAAAAAGGACCAGAGCAGCTTCTTTTCATAGAAACATAGTTAAATATATGAGGTATTTATGATTTAGGAAATAAATGCTTCACTACAATCTCATCTCTCACAAATGAGCTTGCTTCAGGAATAGCTACGTTTTCTTGTAGATTCTTATTTCACCATAAAAATAACATATTCAGTTTAGTGTAAACTTGCTCCTAATTAACTGAAGTTCACCCCAAGTTATCCTACTTAACTTGAAATAAGAACACCCACAGTCTTTTGTACCAATTTAAACAAAATCAGCTTAAAACCATACTGCAAACTAAACTACAGCAGCTCAGGGCCTAGCCAAGCTGTTAGGTGAACTCATATAAACACTTACAAACACTATCATTGCTTTAAATTATGTTAGTCCAATCTTTTATCTTGCTTCTCTCCAATTAATTGTTTAATTACCTGGGTTCAGACACACACGACCAAGATAGGAAGGTTTAACAAGCTATCACAGGTCAAGCGAACTACACTAATTAAACAGTTGTATACTGCCAGTCCACAACAGATACCAGATGAAGAATGTCTGCTTAAATGTCAGCTGAAGAAGTTAAGTCATGGTGATTGTACCTGCCTAGAGGGGTGGGGGCAAGGGTCTAAAAACTGACAGACTTTCACTACCTAAGTTCAAAAACGACACTTTTAATGACTTTTAATGACAATACGCTTACGGAACAGACACAGGGAGTGCTGAGCCGGGGCAGCGTGTTCAGTATGTGTTAATTCAAATAGAAACTTTTGCCTCTGCCACTCTAACAAGTCAAGAAGAAAAATAGTAACTTTATATTTTCCACTGCTGTCAGCGGGTAAAGTGAAACTTAAAACCAAATAGACATTTTGTTCAGTAAGAGAATGCTATTTTTACGCGATAAAATATTAGAGCGGAACTTCCTCAGAGCAGATCAAAACAGGAAAAGATAACTACAGATGTCACTCCAGCAGTTGCAACACCCACTCAGAGACATAAAGGGGAAATAATCCCCCGCAAGTGAAAAGGGATGAACTACAAGAACACCATGCTCACCAGCCAGCTCTTGTGTCACTGCCTCAAGAGGGAATATGTCTGACCCTTGCAACCAGTGACACAAAATAGTCACTCTGGAACTGACCTTAAATGCCATAGGGGAAGTGAAACACGACAAAAATATTTTTTCAACTGTTTCCTCTCATTTCTTAAACTAGAACAAAACAAACAAAACCAAAAAAAAGGAAGAATGTCTTGGGCTGTCTGTTACAGCTGTCACATATGAATGAAGTAGCATCAGAGCAAAGACAGCTTGTGCTGAGGCATATGAGGGACTCAGAATAACAGAGCAGGACAGACAATGTTGAAATTTTGAGTGTCTGAAGCTTTTGGAAATGTCAGACAAGGTATTTTTGTAAAATGAAGAAATAGCCTGTAAGTTGAATGGACTTAAAATCTCCATGGGTTTGATAAGCTTCATTTTGTGAGTGCTCTGCAACAGATACATAAATTGCTACAAAAAGAGCAAGAAAACAGGAATTGCACAATCTAGCAGTATTAAAAATTACTAAAATTCTGCATTACCTAAGAATATAGCTACCAGAGCTGTGGCTGTAAAGGCAAGATGAATGCATCAGAAGTTATCAATAGAATCAGCCAAGCTATCCAGAGACTCAGTTCACACACACTCTGACGTGAGAAAGAGTGATCACAAATAAGTCCCAAAAAGCAAGAGAAATTACATGAAATGTACAGAAACCTAGGGCTCTGACTGAAAAAGTTACATGTGATCACCAGAGATTCACTTTAAAGCACTCATCCCTGATATGTAGAATGAGTGGGCCTAATACTGCTTCTGTTAGCAAACAAGTAGCAACATTTGTGCATGAACAGAGTATCTTGTGTATTATTTTAAAACATAAGATGAAGGCAGTGAAGTCATGCAAACAGTGCCAAAAAAATAAAAGTACCTTGGCCTCCATTATTACTTTGTTTACTTACAGTCAAAGCTTATTTATCTATCTATGTGCTTAGATATGCTCATACAAGTTCTCCAGATAGTTTCAAGTGGACCTGAATTAGATTCAGATAATCAACCACTTATTTAACACAGCTGAAATTTCCAAAATGTCTAAGAAATTTATTTTTCAATAAAATTTTGAGATGGGTAAAAGTCACTGAATCTCAGTATCTTCTCACATATTTTAAAACATTTTCATATCTGAAGTTGTCATTAGCATATTGAATTAAATGTATGAACAGGTATTACAGTACACGTAAGAATCCTTGTATAAGAGATGTGTAATAATACTAACATTAAAACATTTTGAGTCATCTGACTGTATCCAGACATCTTTTAATACTGAAAGAAATATGATTAAGAATGTGGAGTTCATGCTATTGTTTTAAGTTCCTCTGAGCTACTGACTCATCTGTACCATGGGGATAGTAGTACTTCCCATTTTCACATAAGTACTAAGAGAAAAAAAAAATTACTAGGGGATATGACAAAAACTGAAAGTACATACATGAGTGTCTCTGTCAGTCTTGGTGCTGGTTAATAATAAGAACTTCTTTAAACCCCTGTTCTCTCCCACAAAGATCACTGAAAATAGCACAAGGTTATTCTGATTAAACAGATGTGACAAAGTAATTTAAAATAAGGGTTAATCCCCATCCAGCTGCATATAAAATTCAATAGTATTTCCATTACAGGAAGGAAAAAACCACCATGATTTTTCATAAACATTGAAGCAAAGGTGCTCTGCAACCTTAAGTTAAAATGTGTAAAGAAACTGTTCTATTTGAGGTGGTCTTCAAATTTTGTTTTGATGAATTAAACTATCTGGGGTGTGGCCTGAGCCCTCTGTGGGGAGGTGAGGCAGATGTGGCTTGCCCTTATCTGAAACTGTGCAGCTGTTTGCAACATGTTTACGTGAGTCACAGAAACATGATGTCACAACCTGCGGATGACCTAGGGTTTTTCTTTGATAATCAGAAACAGATGATCATAGTATTTATATACCAACTAGAACTCCCGATTATGTGATAAAGCACATGTAACAGCATTGTCTCTGAACAGCTTTCCAAATTATATAAATATGTATTGCTCTGGGGCAACATCGTGACATTTTCTTGTTATGCGCATTTTTCAGGTTTTATTTTGTACTGCAGCCTTTGTACTACACAACTATTATATAATGGCTAACTCTCCCTCATCTGCCTCATAACTGTGTGCATTAAGGAAAGAAAGTAAATCACTTAAACAGTTGACTTTTAAGATAATAAAGAAAGTTATATTTTTAGACATTGTCAAGAACACTGAAATACGACCTCCAACATTTTTCCTGGGAAAATGATTCCTTTCGAGCAAGGCAGTATCAGAAATCCTCGCTGCTGGGACATGTGGACTTGTCTGATCCCAACCATGAGAGGAAGCCCCTGAAGTACATGCTCAGTACCCGGGAAGCTGGGTTAGCTCACCAGCAACCACATTGTGGAAAGAGAGACCGACTAACTGATTACCTAGTACACACTCTGCCCCCACTGAAGACATGCCTTAATCTACACCACCCCAGTTCATGTTTATCCAATATATTCCCAACAATCTGCCGTGGTGGGGACTAAGCAAACTCCCCATTGCAGTCTACATCAGTGCTTCCCCAGCCTTATCAGCAGCACAAGATTCCTCATGCTAGCTCGGATCTCTCCCACAGCCACTGAAGTCTGCTCTTGTTCCTTATACTTTACCTGTGGAGGACAGTCTATTCCTTACTCTCGGCAATAGCCTTCATTTGCCTGAGGCTAAGAAGCCATCCAACTTCTTTTTAAACTTTTATTTTTCAATTGGACAGGTCATGTGTTGTAGATCTCTGAACCCTCTTGTTGCTCTCCTTCACACCTTCTCTGACTGATTCACACACATCTTTAAGCAACTTGATTTTTTTACCCTAACAAGTCCTGATGCTGCTTCACAGTCCCCAGTTGAAGGCAGAAGGTGGCTCTCAGCCTTTGAAATGACCAAGGACTATGACCTAGGTAAAGCACACTTTTTGCCAGCTAAATTAGTTTTAATTAAAAGACAAAATAAAACATGAATGAACTGTGTGGTAACACAAGGTTGCAGCCTGCCCTTGTAGATGGCTACAGCTACAGCTTCTGTTGGCCTCCTGAGGAGGCAGTGGGGACTGCAAGTGTTTGCACCTGTGCTGGGTTTGGCTTTAGTCTGACTGAAAGGGAGTTTTAAGAAATCCTCTTCAAGGAAAGTAGCATTTAGAGTCATAGAATCATAGAATAGTTTAGGTTGGAGCAGACTTTAAAGGTCATCTAGTCCAACCCTCGATTTGGATTTGTTAAAAACATGCCTAATTGCAACTAACCATGGAAAGGTTCCTGGCATTTCCCAGCCCATGGAGGGCCCCACAAACAGAAGTGCCGTATTACAGGGAATTGTTGTCTGGCTCTGTCCCCACTCTAGCCCTCCTGTGCCCTCAGGGCAACCCATTCTCCCTTGACAAGAAGGGTCACTTCAGTAGCTGAAGCATGTACTAATCAAGCATAAGTCTTCAGTGGGCATGCAAAAGGAAAAGGAGGCTTTTAAACAGGGTGTGACTCAACTACTGCTTACCATATGAAGGCCAGACATATGTCAGCTTTTCGTGAAGTTAAGCAA